GAAGGAATTACATGCCAGTGATCTGAATAAATTTCAGTTTCGATTGTACTTTAAAAAGCATAGTTTGATAATAAAAATATTAAATTATTATTAATAAATTAATATAAAAAATTTTTATGAAAGCACTTGGACTTAGTTGCCCAATGACTTTAAGCCTTTTTGAAAATGCATCTCACCCTTCTAGCGGGGATCCAACCCCCACTCCCTTATTTGTACCCGTTCAAAAAAAATTTATGAAAAATATTTTAATAATTTTAGAATACAGTTGGATCTAAAAACTCACCTTTTTTAATAAAGTAAACGAAGGAAACTTCTCCACTAGGCAACCAAAAAAATAAAAAATAAAGTCTAACAACAGAATTGCTGAATCTACCTGAGATGCTTGGGGTGAGAATCCCGTCTCCGATCACCATAGAAGTCCCGAGGATGGTGACAAGGAAAAGAAAAACCTGAATAAACTTGCTGTTCTCGAGCACCTTTTTTATCATGGAAGCCCGTTTCAACTGCCTCGACGGTAGCTCCAATCTGTAGTTGGAGAGCTCACTGTCCTCCGGTTGCTGATTCGGAACCAAGCTGATCTTCGCATACCGGCTCAACAACGAGTACAGGGCGAACGTTCCTCCTGCAATTACATTGTTTTCCTCCATACATCAATGTCATCAAACACTTGATGGTAATCAATTAATTTATCATAAAAAAAAAATCATAGATTGGACGTCAAGTGGCCAGTCCAATATATATATATATATATATGCTTTTGTGAAGGGTAAGATCTGGGCAAATATCAGATTTACTACCTTCGCCGTTGTCGTTGGCCCGCAGGACGATAAATGTGTACTTGATGAAGGGTATGAGCACTATGGTGTAGATGATGAGGGAGAGAACCCCAAGAACGTCTTCATCATGTTTGATTCCATCAGTAAAAGTGCTAGAAAACACGTAGAGGGGAGATGTTCCGACGTCTCCATACACCACTCCGATACTCTGAAATGCCAAACTTAACGTCTTACCCCAATCTACCTGCAATATTTTTCTCCAAAAATTAATTTCAAAATTTTGACTCTGATATCAGGTGTAAATTAATTCAAATATTTACAATACCTAACCTTCCTGACTTTTCCATGTATCTGATAAGTCAAAGAACAATAAAACCTTTGTTTTGGAATGTTACATATTCAGATTATATGTGGTACCAGGCAAATCAACTTTAAAATACTGAAATGAAAAGAGAGAAAGTTTAACAGTGCCAAGCCTGTTACGTAGAAAAAATCTCACAATCTAAAACATTGAACAAAAAGGTGTTTTTGCAGTCGAAACTGCAGTGTATACTCTGCAGTAATTAACTCTTGGATGATTAAACGGAGAGAGTAAATGTAGAGAGAAGACCATACATGGGAGGCGTGGCGGTTCGGAGCAGAAGAGACTCTACCGGCTTCCAGGTTGAGGGAGTCCACACGGTGGAGATTGGTCCAGGACAACTTTCGATCGTTCAGTTTTCGCTCAGCTCCGGTAGTTGTCCCTGTTCCTGGATCTTCATTCTCTGCCATTTTTTTCCCTTGGTGTGAATTTTCTTTGTGCATTGGGAGGCAACAGCGGATTTATAGAATTCAAAGTCCACTCTGCTGTCAACAACCAATATTTTATTTCTATACGCTGTTTTGAGGCGGTTTTTGTTTCCTAGTTAATTCCAAAAGCGTTTATATTATTCTTATCGCTAATTATATATAGTGGCATCCGCCTTATATTTCTTAAAAATTTGGAAAATTATTGTTAACTAGTTTTACCCCCCGAATATTGCACGGATTTCGCATCGGTTTCGTACGGTTTATATACAGGTTATTTTTTAATTATATACAAATTAGAGTTTAAATTTTATATTATGATGGGTTGATTGTTATTCTTTTTATTGGATTAAAATTTAAAATTTTATTTATTTATTTAATTTTAAGTTACGGAATAAATTTAAACTTTGTATTATTTATTTACTCGATTACATGACGTTACTTGAGTCATTAGTTTTAAAGTCTTATTTAATCCCTTTTATTACTTATAAACAAATTATATGTTATTCAAGTTTTTTCATATGTTTTTGTGTTTTTTATGGTTGATATTGTAATAAATTAATAATCATTAGTATCATCTTGCCTTTTCTCTTTAACTATAAATTATAATATAATAATTACAATTGAAATTATATCTTCTATTAAGAAATTTTTGTTTCCATACCGTTTGGCTTCAATAATTGCTGGCACTTTATCCTTAAATTGGACAATAATGGTAATATAAAATAATAATAATAATAGCATTTTTATTTTTAATCTTTAATTCATTGAATTTTTTGCAAATCACCTCATGCATTAATATCAAGATAAAATATATTAAAATTATTAATAAATTGTTTTAGTTTTTTATCTTTATTATTAATTTTAAAATTAATATTGAAATAATAAAATAATTATTATATATATTACATTATTAATTATATCCCTCTTTATTTTTCATTATTAACTATAATATAATAATTTCAATTAAGGTTACATTTTTTATAATTTAAATGAATTATAAATGAATTTTTGTACAGTCACGACCTTTTACTTTCTATACTCATTTACCTTTTTCTTCCTTTAATTCATCAACCTAAGATTTTTTATGTAAAAGAGTTTAAAAGAAAAGCCTCATAATTTTGGAAATGGTAAAAGTAAATTTAGGTCATTTAGGTCTTTAGTATTACACAAGTAGTTACTGTATAATAAAATTCTATAATTTGTTCTTATTCTTTATAAATACTAGTTTTCATCATGTTCCTTTAATTTAATGCATTATATGTAACTAAAAATAATAATAATAAAGTAATTAAGAAGAAGGAAAGAAATTGAAGAAAATAAAAAAGTTGAACTAAATTATTAATCACATTTATTAAATTTTATGCCAAAAAAATATATTATTTTTTATTTTTTAACAAATTTATTTTTTATGATTAAAAAATATAAATA